CTTCCTTTAATCAAAAAGATAAAGCTAGAGCAGAAAATTTTAATTATTTAAGTCGTTGGGCTTTTTCATTTCCCACACAGGAGACTTTCACTCAAGGCTAAGTCTGAGACTGCACTGTTAGGGGGTGTGTTTGTGATTATCTCCTGTAGATCCAAGCCCTTGCTACCGCCCAAAGGGGCTGTCCTACCCATCCTCTGTCCCGGCTTGGCACCCTGAGCTCTGCATCCCTGCTATCAGCTGCTCTGGACATTTAGCATCTTTAAAAAATGCAGGGAAATCTGAAAATTATATGCAGCCTTTCACACAGTCAAGTATATGCATGTTCTTTGCAGCTGTGGGTAATATAAAAGTGTATAAAAATGTGTGCTTAGTTAAGAAAGAAAAACTGTGAAAATATTTAACATGAAATTCCAGGAAAAAAAAAAAACAGAATAAAAAAAAAACAAAAAACCTGAAGCAAAGCAAAGAAAAAAAAGCTACACTGAAAAATTAATTATTAATTATTACTAAAAAAGAACTTCATAAGATGTGACTGATAATATGAAAATTAATAACTAAAGGGAATACATTAGAAGTGATAGATCCTTTGACTTAAAAAATCAATTAAGACATCCACATTAGCCTGCTCCATAACAGTGTAATACAATCATGATGACTTTAAGAATAAGTTCTGGGTTTATCATCCCAGACTGTGCCATGCTTACTTTTAAAGGAACATGTAGTTTATTTCATGTGCTTTTGCCGTACGGTACAACTCTTGAGTTAAGGTTGGGAGCTTTAACCTACAAGAATGTTAATGTTAACCATGTATGAATATACATGCAACATACATCTGATTGAGATACATGGTCTAACACCCCATTTCCATGAGTCCTTTAGCATTCCCACTTGGTAACCTCATCACTCATTCTGAAGGGAAGGTGCCTTGGCAGTTTGCTCTTGCTCTCAAGGATTAGCTCTCTTTGAGCAAGGCTTTTCAACAGCCTCCATAATGAAGCAAGTGCTGGAGATGGATTTATGAAAGTAGGAATTTCTTACCCACAACTCAGTTATCTCTTCATCATCACTGAGGACCTCCTCCTTCACCTGTGGCACAAACAAGACAAAGAAACCACATAGAATTTCTTTTTGTAGTCATATCACACTATAGAATGATACTGATTCTTCAACCTGTAGGAAGAACAAGCTTATGGGTAACTTCAGATGGTATTGATTTCATTTTCATGCATTTTGCAAATGACAGATGATGTCCTGGTCAGTTTTGTTTACTGAAGGACACTAATTTAGAGGTGCAATTAACAATGACAGAGTATTGCCAGAAATTCTGTCAAGTGAAAAATTTTATCATGTTTTGCCATCTAGATGAGACACAAAAGTTGTACTTAACCCTCTAAACATTAAGATAATTACTGTTGAAACTAAGTACACAGAGCAGAATTGTATTATTATTACTGCTTCTATATGTTAGAATAGATATATATCTTACACCACTAACTTTTCTGCATATCTCCCTATCACTGGATATCTTACAGGTACTGAGAAAAAAAAGCAACCTTTGTGTCTATGAGACCTGGCCACTTTATAGAAGGGCTTCCCTAGCACATTACTTAAATTGTTCTCAGAAATCAAAATATGAAGAGTATCAAAATTTTATCACAATACACAAATATCCCTAGCTTTTCTGTAATTAAGGTATTTATTATTGCTTCATTGTGTCATTCTTTGTGATTTCCTGGTCTTTTTTACTGGGTCCTGTGACACTCGTTTTTGCTCCTGTATATTGTGCACCATGGGGTGTATTTAAAAATAATACATCTCCAATGTCTTTGAGTAGAAAAATAATATGGGCAGGAAGTAAAGCAGCCTTTCTGAGTGTGGTGCAGATTTGTTTATTTGAAATTCAGAAAGGCACTGAAAAGGAACTGACCAGTGAAGACAGCAACTGACACTCATGTGGGGAACTTGCTTGTCCAGAGACTGACCAGGGGCAAAAGACCCCCCCACTCCAAGCCACACAACAGTCATACAGGGGCCTATGTCACAAGGGGTGCAGGACCAAACTCCTTCCTGTGAGGTGCCCAGAAAGTTGGCTGAAGTGTGTGTATATATGTATATATATTGTGTGAAAGTAGGCTGCATCAAATACGGATGAAGCAGGTTTGAGCTTGGACTGATGACGGAGGCTTAAGAACACACACCTCAAGAACAGTGTTTTAAAAGTAATGAGACCACTGCACCACTGCAACAGGAAAAGGGTGATTTCTGAAGCACTCAAGTATGGTGGTTACCTCATGCAAATGGAAGTCACTAGGAACTGGACTCAGCTGGCTTTGCAATATCAGTAGGTGACTGCTTTAGCCTTTCCACGAAAATGAAATTTTGATGAATTGCCTTATATGCAATCATATTTTGAATTGTACAGCTCTTTTTTCAATGATGCTTTCCTCTGCTGCCCTGTAAGGTGCTAACAGGAGTAAAATAAAAAAAACACAAAAATCTTAATACAAAATGTAATGGAGAAAAAAGCTCCAAGAGCACAGAATTACTATTAGGTAGATGCCACTAATTCTGTCTTATTAACTCCAGTATTCCCAAAGGGTAATAGCCAGTGGTTTAGGATTTCCTCTTCGAGCTAGATCAAACTCCTGTATCTTTTCCACTCATTTTTGTTTAGACTATTTTTTAATTATTAATATGAAAATATTATTTTTGAAAGTTTGAATATTTGTTTTGAAATCCCATTTGAAATTGTTCTGATTTATCTTTTCTGAAGAGTCCACCTGCACTCTTCTTCCTAATGAGGTATGGCACAGAAGGATATATTGTCACAGCTGTAGCTTTTGGTTTCACTTTTTTGGGACTATTATTGTTGTTTATGGCATTTTATAATCTTCTGTAGATCAAACTATCTTCTGTTATAAAAAAAAATAGAACAAAGCTGAAATCTTTTGGTCTGTTAAAGAACATGCATACTTTATATTTGCAAGAAATAACTCCTATCCAGTGATCAAAATGGAAATTCAGAACTGGGAGCAGTTTTGAGTGATACACATTTTCACCCTTTATTGGTTTCTTATCAAGGCTGTTATATAGGATTCACATGAAGTGATTTCTCAATAACCTAAATAAGTGTTATCAAACTTCTTTCAAGGGTACTCCAAAAATAGTTTACTGACACAACTCTTTGAAGCTCTGTAGAGATGTTTAAAAACTCACTCTGAAGCCTATTTTCCCTTATCCTATGTATTTCCACGGCATAGAAAGTATAGTACTAACTCTGAAATGCCAGAATAATGACCCACTTCAACCGCTGACTATTGCATTAGTAATATGGATATTTTACATAGTGCAATAATGGTATCAGTATGGTATGCAACATTAAAAAACACAAAAATTACTATTGGCATCTTCTGGAAAATTTGATTAAAGTTCTGAAATAAAGTACTTTGGTTCATAAAAGAACATGGAGATTTTATATGCACAACTTTATTTTTCCTTAATCCAAAAGCAAATTTCAGATTGTTGACAATTTCCCAGAAAAGGGAAAATCTAGATGTGATCCATTTAACATTGCCTGACCCAGTTTGCCTCACTGACTCATTGATGGGCACGTTGACCTCAGTACCAAAATCTGAGTGACAGCAGGGACGTGCACGACTGGCTTTGGCAACCCCAGCCAGCTGCAAGGCAGCACATCATCCTTGCTATGAGGTGTGTGGCATGCTGCAAAGCTGCTTATGTAGCAGGAGCATGGGGCCTCATCCCAGGAGGTGCTGAGTTACCCTAGAGGTGCTAAGCCCTCTTTTCCCAGCTCAAGTTCCATCCTGGCAGACACCCAGCACCGTGGTGGGCTTGGCAGGCTCAGAAGCACACCAGTCATTTTGCACTTTCAGGGATGAAGCATACCCCCTTCTCCTGGGTTCCGTGGCAGAGCAAAAGCTCACTCTACCTTTTTCTTGCCCATTAAGGGCGGTTCAGTTGTCCCAAGAACACAAGGAGGGGCTTACAAAGCCTAAGCTGCAGGATGGAGGGACCTGCTGCTGAGCAAAGTGAAGAATCCTCTTCGATTTCTCCATCTCTCACATGTCTGTGCTCGTGCCATCCAAAATGAGGCCAAAAGTGAGCTGTGTGGCACATCCCCCTTTTCCTCCACTACATGTTGTTTTGAGCAGCTCCCCAGTTTTTCTGGCACGGGACATGTGTACATCTCTCCCTCCACCATGTCAGCGAGAGCACAACCCATAGGAAGGGAAAGGTACGGCATGAGGAAGCTCTGCAGTTGGTGAAAGCAGAAAATCTCCTTCCTCTGCTTCAGATATTCTCGTAGCCTTAATGAATAAACTACCGTATTTTTCCCCAAGTTAATGTGTTACCTCTTTAATGACAACCCCATTCTGCTCTGAGTGCTGCCCTTCTGTGAACAATGTGCATGGAACTGAGTTCTTCACACCTGGAAGTAAACAAATCGACATATTTTAATGAAAACTAATCATTTCTTGAAGTCCATATTCTTTATGGTAATATTCATTAAGCTTTTTTATTATACTTAGCGCAAGGAGAAAACTGGTAATTGCATTGAAAGAAATGATAAGTTACCATTTTAATGATTCCTTATGTTGTGAGTAATTTATAAATCACTCAGTATCTTCTCAGCGAAGCTTGCCTTCTGTTTTTAAAACGTACCCTTTCGTATCCAACAAAGGGTTTCAGTGCAATAAGAATTAAGGTGTGTCTCTTAGCTTTTACCTGCAGCAATAATGATGTTGTCAAGCGTTTCAGGTGAGACCAGCCCAGGATTTTGGGGTGGGGAAAGACACTCTGTTATACAGCATCTTCAGTGCTTCCCTCAGAGGGAGGCAGAGACACCTTGAAGGGCTGAGTATAAGGACATCTACCGAGTGTCTTTTTAAGTAGACACCAGAGGTTGGGGGGGGGGAGGGGAAAAGGAACAGGCTTGTAACCATAACTCAGTTGGACTTGTACCCGAGAAGTCAGATGCCATGGACTGGCTCCCTCACCGAATGGCTGCTTTTCTGTTCCTTTTATTGGTAAGTCAGATTTTAAAACAAAATTTGTAAACTCTGTGATTATGTCAGTTGAGTCTTCCTCAGCAGACCATGACATTTGACAGTGTAAACTACCCCCAAAAACACTTGTGAATTTTAGCAGAAAAAAACCAAGCTGTGCTTATTTTAAACTGCATTTCTGAAAATTCCATACAGTAATTTAGGTTTTCTTTGCATGCTGACAAATGTTTCTTTTGACTTTGACTTTTTGCAGTCCGTTGATGTGTAATTTGTGACTTTCTATATTTAATGCATGACTTTTTAGGTCAATGTTGTCCTGGGTACTATTTAAAGTGTCACTGTTATTAATAAAATTATTATAATTATAAAAATCCTAATAACTTGACTGGATATTATTTAGTTCTATGTCTATTTTTTTTTAAGTTGAGTGAATATGGAAAGCAAATCTCATTTCTATGGATTAGCAAGAGGGCTTCAGAGCTGACCATGTAGTACAGCTGTATTCAACAGAAAAATATGAAATATATCAAAGACCTTAGCTGAGTAAAAAAAAAAAAACCAAAGACTTGGCCTATTATTTCACATTGCAAATAGTTTCTGCCTTGTAGTGCATTAGCGTCCGAGCCGCCATGTGCTGAGCAAGTGAATGAATGACGGAATTGTTGTTCTTTGGGCTTGTTTTTCCCACTGTAGAAGGAAAGTTGTGGTTATGGTCAAGCAGCATGGCTGTAGAATGTGTTCATCAAGGCACAGAAATTACCCAGAAAGGACTTAAAAGACTTATGGAGGCACTTTTGCTCCTGCAATCTGATTTTTGTTTAGATTATTTTTACTTGTCAATGCTGATCTTCTGAAATTAGGTAGAGGTTTAAGGCCCTGAAAATTGAAAAGAGTAGGATTTCTGTTATGTTCTTCTGTGGCTTTGACACAATTTTACATTTTACACAATGTATTAGTAAGGGTAAAATTTTGATAACTTCTCATTACTGACACCTCTAGAAATGTTGTAGTCAGGGAAAAGGTATTTATTGTTATAGAATATGAAATACTTACTTTGAAAAGGTAGTCAAATAACTTTAGGTGACAGCTCTGCAGTCAAAGTAGAACTAACCAACACAGGGCAGCTGCAAAGCAAACAGTGACAAAACTTGGCAAAAGCAAGTTAAGGTGCGGATGAGTTTCTGCTTGTTTTAACACAGCACAGAGGTCTCTGAGATTGGCCTGTTTTACATCACACTAACACTTCTGGTTTTTCATGTAGCGACGATTCATTTTACTCAGTTACCTGGTGATGCACAGTAGTGATTTGTCAAAGTTCAAAACCAGATGTTGACTATACAGTATCTAATATCTGTCCATTCAAAAGAGATTTTACTGCTTCTCATGGCAACTCTGGAGCCATTTTCATTCTTTCAGTATATTATCGTTACAATTGCAACTGATGTGTTGGGCCAGGAAAAGAAGCAACTGTGAAAACTGCCATTATGCCATTATTATGTTTCAATGACTATCAAATATTTGAAATTTTATTACCCAGAGGAAGCAATTATTATTCTTATTATGCACCCTGCACAGCCGTGTTCATGGTGGCCTGCACAGCTTAACAGCATCTTTCAGCGCCTAAAAGAAAGCTGATGGACAAACTGTAGAGATTAAATAAATTGTAAATTATGTATCCAATTTTAGTGTATTTTGAGAAACAGTCTTGGTTTTAAGCTTGATTAATCTTTCATGAAAATTACCTGTCTGAATGGTGTGTCTGGTTAGTATACTATTATTAATCTCTATGAAATAAAATTGTTGTGGAGTTATACATATTTTAGTACACTAGTGCACTTTCATAAAAAGAAAACTTACCAGCCATGAAAGTAATAATTTTCTATATGCATTTCACCATTGGTGGGACTGATTCTGCAACCCTTGTTCACGTGACTTCAAAGGCGTTATTCTCATGAGTAAGGGAGTTCTGTTTGTGATACTTGCACAGACACGTTTTATGGAAATAACCTGTTTGATCAGGTATGACTCTTCTCCTGCCAGCTATCATGTGACAGTTAATAATTTTAAATTCACCGCATCTCTTATATGCACTTTTGTCTGGCTACATTTTCCCATGTGCTATCTACACTTCAGGTTTTTTTTCCATTTAGGCTGTGGTTACACCTCCTACTCATAACTTGGTTGCACATAAAAATATTAAGGGGCCAAATCTTCTCCTTGCATATGCAACAAAACATCTGTCAGGACGTAGCCAGGAACTTGCAGGCTGATCTGCCAAAGAATTTTGTCGTTGAAATAGGAACTAAAGCAACTCTGCATCCAGGAATTATCACCTGCGATTCAGTTCTTAAGTCTCCAGTTTTACATTCCTAAGCAAAAATGTTCCCAAAACAAATGTGCATTTGCAGCTAACCCATAATAGAATTCAGGTTTTATTGAGGATATTTACTGAGAAGACATAGCATGACTAATCTGAAAAACTCAAATTTGAATGATAATAGCGTAGACCCTGTACTGTAATCACTTTTCTGTTCAATTCCTTAGTGGTTAGGCTCAGTTACGTTATGGAAATTCTTTATATCTGTATGATTCAGCAGAACAGAAACAGTCTCAGTGGTCAGTCTCCCAAAGTGGTCAGTTCCTCAAATAAACATGTTTTAAAATAAATAAAACTTTGGAATATATTCTTCTGATTGAGATGAACATCACCATAGCAATAGCAATGGATTTTCCATCATGGGTGCAGTACAAACTATTGACGTCAGTTGCTAACACAGGAAGTAACAGAGGCACCTGACTTCCTCAGAATTAGAAAACAAAATGCCAGAAAAATCCTGAAAAACTTCCCCTTTTACAAGCACCTTCATGAGTAACCTACAGAAATGAAAAGTATAGACAAAAACACATTCATGTTTTGATTTAAAAGTGATAAAATGCATACTTTTAAAAATATGAGGTTATTTTGTCTATGCTACTCATTATTTCATGTGCATTGTTTTCTCATTTTTTAAAGAGATGCAGAATGAATAAAGGGAAGGGTTCATTATTTCAACAATTTAGTAGTCGGAGCTTTGGCTGACTAAGACAGACGTAAAAGTCCCAAAACGCTGACACAACCAGAGCTACCATGGCACCCTCATGACTAATATAATATGTGTTAGTTCTCAGCACTCCTCCCATACAGGCCAGTAACAATACCACTGTCGACTTCAAAGAGAGAGAAGAAGATCCAGTATGAATAATGCTGGGAAGATGTTAAAGGCGTGTTCAGTCATTTAGATTTCAGTAGGTGGAGGAGGGAGGATTCCATAATTGCGTATAATATTGTTTGGCAGTCAATTAATGATTAGTTAATTCTTGTTTGTAAATTGCTTTGAAGGTGCAGAAAACTATACACATCCTATGGGACTAATTCTGTTCCCAGTTACATCAGAATAAATCCAGAATAACGCCAGTGTGCTTCTACGGCATCATTTTGGGCACAAGATTGAAGTTCTACATCATTACAATAAAAGACAAGTTTTCAGACAGGCCACTGTGCAAATGACAGTCACCATAAAGACGTTTCCTGCCTGCACCTGTCCCAACACAAACCAGAAACAGCTTGTGCAATAAGTCTCTAGCTCCTCTGCAGAGTTTCCTTTTTTTCACAGTCTCTCAGAAACTAACAGGACAACAAACCTCAGTATCATTTTGATCAGCTTGCTTATCCCAAGGTTCTCAGAATGCATCCCACACATTCCAGTGGCTCCTATTGCTTTAATTATCATTAGTCACTTAAATCTGTGGAAAGTATTGTACTCAGATACTAGTTTGCAAGGAAAATTTATTCACTACCTAGAAGTATGCAGGAGTTCGCTACTAGGAGATAGTAATTCTCTCCTATAAACTGCACTAGAAAAAAAAGGGTTTGTATTGCAGAGAGACATTAGCAATAGATAACTGAGGTGTGGGGAGCCTAACTGTTGGTGATAGTGGAGAACTGGAAAACATTACTTGGAGGGGTAAAGACACCATTGAGGTGTAGTTGGATGGATGTAATTTCAGGATTTATGAGGTCTAGCTGGTGAACTAGACAACTTTGTCTGGTGTCTGCCTGCCTTCCTTCTTATAACACAGCAGCAATTGAGAGAGAGATATACCAAATGCAGACATCAAATTCATAGGATCAGCCTTTTCAAATAATATCACAAACTGTACTAAGGACTCTGGATTCAAAACCATCAAGACTTCTTTCAAGATCTTCCATTAGCAGCACATAGCAGAATGGGTTTTTCCCCAGTTAGCATAGGACAAATGTGGAAATACGGGTCCTAAATTTACAATCCCCAGTATTACTGATGAAGAAATTCCTGACATAACTATTACTGGTGCTCAAAAACAAAGGATGAAACTCCAGTGTAAAATGTATATTCTTCACTGCTTTAAAACAGAACCCCCTATAGGCTGTAACCAAGTGGGGTTTGAATATTTGTGTCCTTAAAGAACAGAATGCTTTACAGGCATAATACTTATTTTACTGATATTCAACACAGTTTTTCAGTTAGGCTTGCTGAGTGAGAGAGCAGTGTGGCTGGATGTGAGATCTTAGTTTCACTGTTAAATAACAGAACAGGCCACAGGATGTAGACAGCAGACAAGATTCACTAACATTGCACTGGGAGGTGTATACCCATACTTTCTTGGATCAAGAAAATTGCTTGCATGCCAGAAGGGATTTCAGCCTAAGGGTGGAGAGGATTTCACTGTACTCACCAAATGAGGTTCTGCTCTGCTGGTAGGGTCAGCTGATAAGAGATGTAAACCAGGGCTATTTCTGGCAGACTTCATCACTCAGGTTCTCTGGTTAGGGTAATCTGTCCCTTCTACACCCCATGTTTCCCCAAGCTCCAAGAGAGATTTAAAAGGACAGGCCTGAGCTCCTACTGGGTGAAAAAAAAAACCACAATTTAAATTAAGTCTGATACTCTCCCTTATCTCAGATGAGTAATGGCTGTACATGAATTTAAGACCCATTCTTCAACTGAAGATTTAGTGACCAAGACATAAACTCAGATTAAAAGTTATATTGATGCTTTTAGCACAACACAAAGATATTGTAATAATTTTCCTGCAGAGTACTTTTCTTAACCAAATATGTCAACAGCTTGCTCAATTAAACAAGAAAAATACACTTAACCCATGAACAGTCCTATAAATTTCAAGGTATATGAACAGCAAATGAGCAAACCCACAGTCTAAATTCCCTCATGCAGAAGCAGATTAGGGCAGCCATTATGTGACGAGGTCTCAGGGAATGTTCTGGGCAAGATCAGATCATTAGAGACATTGCTTTGTAAATGACATATGGTGGGGAAAAGGGGGAAGAGAGAAAAAGGAGTGTGAAGCTGCTGTTTATTAATCTGTTGCATGTAAGAGGTTGTTTTAATATCAAGTAAGTGGAAAAAAAGTCTGTGCCAATCTTTCAGCCTTGACAGAACAATGCCATAAATCTGAAGTGAGGAAAGTCCCATGAGGTAAAACTGTCATAGAGAAAAAGATGATCACAGAGTTTATCCAAGCAAAACTGAAAAAAAAACAAAACAAACCCAAACCCCCGAAAAAACCCACACTAGACAAAACATGTCAGATGAAAAAAAAAAAAAACAACAAACCAAACAACCAACTATTGAACAGTACTGGAAAATTATAAGGAAACTGAAAATTTGATAACTTTAGCTAGAAACAGCATGTGGTGAAAAAAAAAGAGAAATTCTGCAACACTTTTTGAGCCACTTGTATATTTTATTTCTCCTATTGATGAATGAAGCAAACATCCAGTCCTGCAAATCCTATATTCTTCACCCTTTATCATCTGAGCAGAGCAGATGCAGGTCCTAAACCCAGAAGAGATGCAATGAAGAGGTATATCCACCAAATGAACTTCATTTTCACACCTTGTTTAGAAATTAGGTTAATTAAAACTGCACCTTCTTTTAAATTATGCTAATCAGGGAACTAAGGATTCTCTATTATTTTAATTTTAAAGTAATTACATATTATATAGGATCCTGACACCTTTATTTACTCAAGACTTTGGTTGCATAGTTAGATCTCAAATCAAAGCCGTCTGCACTCCAGAGAAATCGGCCTTATGACTGCAGCTGGCTTTCTATCTTACACTGAATCTATTCAACCCCAGTGGGAAGTTTCAATAAAACGCTTTTGTTCTTTTTGGTTAAACTACATAGTAAAGTACTTCAGGTTTGTGGACTTTCTAAACAAGAAAAATACAGATTTTTTTGCTCTTTCTCTAGTTTCCTAGAATTACTTTTTAATATCAACTCTTGCAACCACATCTGTCTTCAGATGAAGTGTTATGACCTGCAAATCTGGTGAAAGGCCTTTTGATGTACGTAAACTGGAAATTTGCTATGGCACATCCATTCAAACTCAAAGTTCTGCCTTGAAAGACAGAATTGATTTTGAAGGTGTTAACTGTTGAAGAATTGAATTGATAGGTATAAAAAAAAATTAATTGCACAAAGTAATTTATAAAGCCCTGTACCTGGCCTAGATGAGTTATTGCAACAGACTTAAGAAGTACTGATTTAGTACTGCAGTATAGCAATATACAGCAGTTGGGTTTGCTTACTGCATTTTGCCCTGCATTTTCATATGCCAATCTTCTTATTGTTCTTGCAGGTACTCGTGGATTTCAGCACGGGATTTCATGTAGAGGTAATACATATTTATGTAGAAACTGTTTATCTGATCAAAGGGATTCTAGTCAATGCAAAAACTAAGGGGAAAATACTGAACTAAAACGTTTCTGAACTTGAAGACTGAAAATGTATTTAAATATTAAACAGTTGCAGGCAATAACCTTCTTACCCTGTGAAGAGGAGTTCCCCTGAGCCTAAATGAGTATCTCATACACAAGAATACTTTTAAAGTAAAGATGTACAGTCTTAAGAGTCTGGGACTCACAGACATACAAAAAAGCATATGATCTATAAAAATTCCTTTTCTCCTTATTGCTGGAAATTCTAAATGTCTGTATTAATTTAAAATGGATTGAGGTTACTGGTCATATGATACTGGAACTCTCTGCCAAAGGTAAAAGAATGGGATGAAAATGGAATGGCAAGATGGAAAACCTTCAGAAGACAAAAACGTGAATGGATCAAATTTGCTGCAGCTTGTAGAGAAGGAGAAGATAATTCTAAGAGGAATCCAATTGCCAAAGTAAGTAGATAGTGCAAAAGAAGTTTTCGCTGGCAAGGAAGTTTTTCTAAAGACAGGCTGATAAAAGCAGAGAGATTTAAAAATGTATTTGCTTAGATTAGTCAAAGCAAGGAACATAGAATAAAAGAAAGGTGATGCAATATTTCCAGCTCTGCTGAGACAGTCTCACAAGGTGAACCCATGTGGCTGCTGAGGAGTGACCAAAGGCTTTCTAGAATATTGCTATCAGTCTACTTCCTGGACTGCTCCAATCACTGTCTCTTCATGTGCAGCATCTGTGTACTAGATCACAATATTTTCCTTTTCTCTCTGATCCTAAGAAACCCCTGAGCAGAAGTTCAAGGATAGCACATGACTTCTGTGGGCAACAGAGCAAAGATTATGACCTCTCAACATGACCATACCCTTACTGAGGTCCAGCCACAGGGGGATACTTTTTGAAGTTTCTCTCTTCACTTCCCTGCCAGAAGATTTAAGAGAAATAGAAATCCTGTTCAGCACTTAAGGGGAGATGGATCTCTAGGCTGACTGTTTCGTAGAACTTTCCATTGGTCCTCTCAATGGAACCTTGTGATAAGTGGTTGAAAAACTGAAATTATATAGCACTTTTTACAGGAACTAGCAATAGGATAAAAAGCCCTGCAGGTGTCCTCAGTAAACTGAAATAAATTATTATTATCTATTATTGTAGATCCGATCGGACTGTGAAGAAAACCATCCAATCACATACAGCATCTCTGGAGTTGGAATTGATCGTGCCCCCTATGGAATATTTGTTGTTAACCCAAGAACAGGAGAAATTAATATAACATCAATAGTGGATAGGGAAGTAACCCCAGTATTTGTTGTGAGTACTCCCCTTTTTCTTTTACCTTTATAATGACAGATCCAGGGTGGGGCAGGGAGAGCAGAAGCAGACAAATTCATTTGTTTCAGGTTGTTACTTTGCTTACTTCACTTTTGGTTTTAAAATGACTAAATCTCTTTACCTAGATACGCTGCTTTGCTAAACACTCAGTGACGGGTGTAGATTTGGAACCACCTCTTGAACTTCGAGTCAGAGTTCTGGATATAAATGATAACCCTCCAATATTTGCACAAACTGTTTTTACAGGATCTATTGAAGAATGCAGTATGGACAGTAAGTAACTATGTTATGCCTATTACAGTATAGGTAGTGATGCTCCCAGAATACAGTTAATACAAACCTACTTCTTAGGTAATGACATAAAATGGCCAAGGCTACCGCAGAGGAAGGAGCAGCATACACTTCTCCGTATGCTGTTTGAGCTGGGGCCCAAGCTTATACCTTAAAATTAATCAGTGATGCTTCCTTTTCTCCCACACACAAACACTGAATGCACCAGTTTCTAACCATACCACCATGCAAATTTTTTCACATGTGAAAATTTAAAATATATCAGTTCATTCCTTCTCATTACAAAAAATTAGCATTACACCTACACTTATTTCCTTTAAGGGTATATAAAATATGTTTTTTCCCAACTTTTTCTATTTCAAATACTTGTATTTGCAGCCTGACTATTGCAGTTGAAGTAAATTACTAAATAAACCCTTACTTAAACTCTAAAATGGTTCTTTTTGTAGAAAGTACAGCAATCCACATTAGACATGCAAATAGCACTGAGGCAATGGTGCCTAACACTCATTTTCTGCTTTGCAGAAATCCTTATTTAAAACGGGGGAGATTCCTTACATGAATATCCACAAGCTCAGTACTTACAATTTTTACACAGCCACTATATTGACTCAAGTTCAGTGAAAGCCTGCATTGCTCCATCTGACCTTAATTTTTGATGCCTTTGAAAGTCAGAATTCAGTCAGAATCAGTACTGCAAAATGAAACTTTGGGGTTTTTCTGTAAATTTCAGTGAATAGATAGCATTCAATCATTTTTATACATCAAGTTATAGCATTGTTTTGATGGGATTTTTGCAGGAACAAAATAGATTTGTTTTTCTAATTATTGTTTTTTCTTTTTAGACACACTGGTGATGAAAATAATTGCAACAGATGCAGATGAACCTAATCACTTGAATTCTAAAATTGCCTTCAAGATAGAGAGTCAGGAACCTGCAGGTCCACCCATGTTCATTATGAATAAATATACTGGAGAACTCCATCTTGCAAATTATCTTGACAGAGAGGTAACATTTCCTGTTCCAAAGTTAAATAATATGATGTTGTGGTGTATATATGTTGGGGGAGGGAAAGAAGGGGGAGGGCAGAAAAAAAAAGAGAAAGGTTGTGCGGTTTTACAAAAATTAAGGAAGAAATGCATTTTTTTCTGTATGTTACAATAAAATGTCTAAGGCAAATTCTGCATTAGGAAATAGTAGCAAGACATGAATATTTATAACATTTAACATGCACACGCGGTCCTTCTAATACACTCATTTCTCTTTCTGCGACAGCAACATAGTAGCTACACCCTTGTTGTGAAAGCATCAGACCGGGATGGAGCTGCCGATGGAATATCATCCCTCTGTAGCTGTAACGTTAAAGTTATTGATGTCAATGACAATTTCCCAACTCTTGCTCAAAGCTCTGTAAGTTTTTAATACCAAAAGCAACATCACTGTTTAAAAACCCTGTTCAAAAGTTGATAACAGAGCCCTTACCAACCCATAGAATTCATTCATGTTTGAATGCTCCACTGGATTAACGTGGTTGTTTCCTTGAAATGTGCTCAAAATCCAACTCACTGCTTGCACACCAATTCTGATAACATACATACACATTGTTCTTGTATTCAGAGAAGTCAGTCCTGACAGACACTTCTCTGAATGAATCCAGTCATTCAGATGTCCAGATCCTTGCAATACGGATTACATACATTAATACAATCTTTGTATGTGTTTTCTTACAGAAAGCACAAATCCCTTTCCTTTAAGCCACCTCCACCTTCAGCTCTTCAGATCTGCAACCAGAATCATAATTCACCCAGAAGACATGAATTTTATTAAATTGGCATGGACTAAGGGCAGGACAACCTTTTAGAGAATCTCTGCATTTAGCTTTGTTTTCCTCACATATATTTTAGTGTTTGCTGATAGACATTTATCTGTCATTCCAGTTTTCAGCAAGTATTTCAGAAAATTCACTCAGTTCAGAACTGCTACGAATACAAGCTCTGGATGCTGATGAAGAGTTTACAGACAATTGGTTAGCAGAATTTTTCTTTATATCTGGTAATGAAGATAACTGGTTTGAAATTGTTACAGATCGAGCTACAAATCAAGGAATCCTTAGAGTAATTAAGGTACGGATAAATATTGTGATTCAACTGTTGAAATTATCATTTTTAAATAGTTTTAATTCATTTAAAAAAAAAATAAATGATCAATAAAAACACTGTCACTCAACCTTCTAAAATATAAAATATTTACATAAAATTAAAGGAACTTTTATATCTAGTTCTCTGTGGTTTATCTTTTAGGAACTGAATTATGAACATCTCCAGACTCACTCACTGATTATTGGTGTCAGGAATGTGGCTGCTTTCCACCACTCTGTTGCTCATGAATACCAAATGTCTGGAACACCCCTCACAATAGAAGTAAAAAATGTGATTGAACCACCAAGATTTAATCCATCTTCAGTTGTGTTTTCTCTATCAGAAAGAACAAGAGTAAATTATGTTGTGGGAACATACACAGCCATCGATGAGGACACTGGAGCTATTGCATCAAATGTTGTGTAAGGTCTACCCTGCTTAACTATCTGGGTGGAATAATTCTGAGATATCAGGGGGATGAGGAATTGGTATTTTAAAGGGTGGTTTTAAAAAACAACTTTTAAAATGTTAATAGATTAGCAGTAGAATAATAGCGATGGAATAGCATATTCTTCCACCCATTTTTATGCTATGATTGTTTCTATTTCCTGACGCACTTTCCTTACTTAGCCTTGTATACAAGACAAAGAAAATATCATTTTTCTATCAGGCTGTAAGTTAAATAAATCAGAACAGATTTTTTTCTCTAACCTAAACTAAGAATATTTTTTCTTGGAACATTTGCCACAAACACAGAATTTGCTAGCATCTCTAAAAATCAAGCAAAAAAACCCTGCCAAGAATGGAAAATACTATACAATCAGGATATGAGAGGTCACTACCAGCTCATTCTATATTTAAAAAAAGGAAATTTATTTCTCCTGAAATTAATATTTAAAAGGACCATAATTTGCTTTTTAATGTATGTAGAAATAAATACATCTAATTTACAAAGGTTTGAAAAGTTTTCTTAAAACAGAAAAAAGTTAGCACATACAGCTTCAGGCAGAAGCTGTAGCTTTAAATACTGATATCAACAGGGTTCTAATAAAGGTTTGCAGTGTCCAGAAAGATTTTATTTTTAGACTATGACACCACTTTCAACATATAATGGACTTCTATGCATTTACTTTATTCCTAATTATTTTTCTCGTCTACATTTTTTTAAGTCTACAGGAATTCTGCTTGAACAGGGTAAAATGCAATAGCACCTAGCAGGGCCTAAAGGAAAATATTCCCAAGTGACAAGTATTCTTTGAAAAATGAATATGTAATAAATATCTTCATAACATAATGTTGACTATTTTCATTTCACCAAACACAGATATAGTATAGGACGTGATCCAGGTGCCTGGTTCAGAATCAATCAAAACACTGGTGAAATCACACTGAACAAAGTTATTAACCGGGAATCAATCTATGTAACCAATGGGCAGTACAGAGCAGAGGTTCTGGCTATCACCAGAGGTAAGAAAAAAGATAAACTTCTCTGAAAATAAACTCTCTTTGTTTCATCTTTCTCTCACTGTTTTTTTTTTTCTCTTCCTAGTTTTCCCACCTGAGCTGCACTGTTTATAGTGTCAGTATTCCCTCCTGACCATGAATACCTTCTTTTTACAGGGGTTCCTCGATATACTGCTACTGGCACCATTGTGCTTTCAATACAAGACATGAATGACAATTGCCCAATTATTAATACTGAGTTACGGAAAGTATGTATGCATTCCCCATCAGTGATTATCACAGCAAAGAATATGGATGGTGAGGTATATGGTGCCCCCTTTACTTTCAGCATACATGGTGAACCTCAAACTACATGGATTATCAGATCAATAAATGGTAAGCTAACCCACATCTTATTACAGTATAAACCATAGTAAAAGCTCTTCCCTAAAATAACAGATTAAGATAATCTTTTAATAAAAAACAAATATGTAAACTCACTTAAATGTGATTTTAAGCTCATATGTATTCACAAATTTACTCTGGATTTGCATATATGTGTGTGTATACATATATACATACATACATACATATATACACCTCATATTAGCACTAGAATCAGAATCATTACATGTGTTTTAGCTGGTTATCATCTTTTAAAAGAAACTAAAAACATACTGATAAAAATGGAGCAGCAAAACTCTACTCTGCTTGAGTGTAGCTACAAGCACTGCCTATGGTCTAAATGTAATGAGGTAATTCAAAAGGATTAATTTAGATTAGACATTAGGAAAAAATTCTTTGCTATGAGAATGGTGAGACACTGGCACAGGCTGCCCAGAGAAGCTGTTGCTGCCCTGTCCCTGGCAGTGTTCAAGGCCAGGTTGGATGGGGCTCCAAGCACCTGGTCTAGTGTACCTGGTGTACCTGCTTATGATGGGGTGGGGGCACCTGATCTTTAAGGTCCATTCCAACCCAAAACAGTCTGTGATTCTACGATTCTGTAATTTGATACCTTTTTATTTCTAGATTATAAAAAAATTCTAAGCATATGACAAAACTCTAATTTTTTTTTATTAAAGTTATTCATTTACTTTTATGAGGCATATGAAAATGGCAAATAAAGATAGCGGTTTTTGCAAATTATTGTATAAATTGTACTTTACTTTTATTTCTAAGAAAAACATGTTAATCGGTGCCCAGTGAAGCTTTTCCAGTTTCCTTCAATAGTACTTGACTATATTATTAAATGACAGAATCTGCGTAACTTACTGTAGGCATAGACTATATTAAATCATAAATATCACAATTACAGCTACTTTTGTCTCCTATTTGTCCTAAACAGATGCAAAAGTGTAACTTTAAATATTTTAAAACTACTGAAAAAACTTTCAGAAAACACATTTAGATTCCTTGTAAGAGAAACAAAAAAGTATCAAAATTGCAATTTTTATGTTCACCTTTATGCAAATAAAACCCAGTAAAAGCAGCAGTAGACATAAAAAGGCGCATTTGCCTCTTTTATATTTCTCACGTTAAAAAGTGATGACTAGACTGATCTGGTTCAGGTTTTCAAAAACTAAAAACTAGCATAGGTGAATATCATAAATTTCAGCTTTGAATAAGTACTGTAGACACAGAAACAGCAGATCTTAGAATAGCAGCACTTCATAATGTTCTACGAATATGACTTCAAACATTCATTATTCAATTGTACAGTATTTGCAGTCAATACACTAATCTAAATATTTATCTCTTTTTTTTTTTCCCCCCCCAAAGCTTCCTCTGCAGAACTAACAACTCAGAGCATTGACTTTTACATTTATAGGATCTATGTCAGCGTAAGAGATAGCCAAGGCCGACGCTGCCTTAAACCACATGTAATTCCTGTGCAAGCTTGTCAGTGTGATAGTCGTAATTACTGCACCAGTGGGGCCACAAAAATAATTATCATCGGCGGTGGCGGTGGCAGTGCCGGTGGTGGTGGTGGTAGCAGTGACAGTGATAGAGGCCAGGAAGGTGAAGGGCAGGGACAAGGAGGTGGTGGTAATGGTGAGATTGGACCTGAAGGAGGATATACTGAGGACCACACAAACTGGGAGACTTACACTGGTGACTACGATGAAGACGACGGATATACTGCCGCCACCGATTTTGGTTATGGTGGAAATGGAAACTATGGCAGAGATCTTGAATCTTCTACCACACTTAGCGGTGCTGCCATTGGCCTGATGTTCCTTGGTGGATTAATATTTGTTCGTAAGTATAAAATTAAAAAAAAAAAAAAAGTATTTATTTTCTAAAAGATGTATTTTTTTAATTCTTCTAAAATACGGTGACTTTTCTGGTTGGTTGCTAACCTATTAGCTCCCATGGGCCATTTGACAGAGAAAAAATTGTCTCATAAATTATAATTTCTACATATTTATATTCTGCATATTTATACACATAATTAATTCAGACATAACTATTTCCTTCCTAAGGGTTAGGATTTTATTCCCAAGGTGTTATCCAGATACATTAGACTGGGTAAAAATGTTTAGTAGAAGATACAGATCTGGGGCAAGAGCTGCCCCTGCAACTTTGAACTTACCCTTTGCAATTCGTACTTCAGTTACATTACTAAAAGTAATGGACAAGTATCAGCTCCAAGTAGGGTGTGAAGAGATATAAAGAACAAGCTTCTTCTGAACTCAGAGCCAGCATTTCAGTGGTAGTACAATAAATACAATAATCTTACATTTTGAACTTTTTGGCTGTTGCTACCAAACGTTGCATCTATTAAAAACGAGTAGCATTTGTGACAACAGATTCTAAACAGATCATTCACTCATATGTCCTGGTATTTTTGAAGAAATATAAGTTTAGGGATAAGATTATTCAAGTTAGTCTTTATGCAAAAATTTACTTTTCAGACCACCACAACCAGATGTGGTCATTTTTCTTTCATGGCCTGGGCATCAAGCAATCAACATCTAAAATTTCCCAGTGCAGAAATACTGATTACAAAACCAGGACTTTTTTCCCCTGACTTTTTGAACAACGTGGTTCGTTTGAGTTTTGATTTTTGATTAGTAGGAATCAACTAACACAAAATTTTGAAGCTGCAAAAGGCTGTTTTGATAGTTCCCCAGTGATTAATGTTACAGGACAGTCTGTCTTTCTGCTTTTGGAAATTGCTCATAGTTGGTAGTCTGGAGTACATACGTCCTTAGTCAAGCAGTGTGGAGTAGTGTTTTGTACGCTCTGTAGCCCTTTCCTCTTTTCAGTTCACTTTGATGTTAAACTGGGAGCTTTAGATGCTCTGCTTAATTTAGTTCAGGTAATTGCCTCCACTTTCTCTACAGTAGGACAAGGTTACTAAGCTAGGTTAAGGACCTAAAGACAGCCAGATTTAATATTGCAGTGACTTTCTAAAATAAACAATGTTTTCAATGTTGGCATTTAAAGCATTCAGCAATTTCCAGCACAGAGTCCTTGAAACAGCTAAGCATAATACAGCACAATGGGAAAACTGACTCACTCTATGTAATCATCTCTTAAAGCTAGCATTTGAGATTTGCCTCCATTGTTTTTTCAAACCAAGTATTATGTGTAAGTGATGCAAAAAATACAACTGGACCCATAGCCAAAGATCACTGCAGTCAAATGGACCCCCCTTCATTGATTCTTCTGTCTATTATAGATAATGTGTATTTCTTTTCAATTACAATATCTGAAGAGACAATTGTATGCTTATATATCAAGAATGAGTATCACTGAATGCTATACAGAGCACAGCTTGTTCTGTTTAATTTTCATATGCGTGCAACTTACATTCATTCTTCTGAGGCAGGTCAAAGTCTGTTCCCAGGTGCATAGGCATAAATTTGGAGTAACAGCCCTACTCCACCCCCACGTTGCTCTGCTATAAATGAAGATACAAATTCTTCTGAATTTCCAAATACATACATTTCCAAAAGCAGCTGATTCTGAAAGCCAGACTTGGAGGGTGCTTGGTTTGAAACATTTTAAAAGACACGGTTCAAAAGTTCTTGAGCACCTGCCCTCTGGGAAAAGCAGCTATTCCTGTGAGGAAGAGATGTCCTAAATACCTGTTTTCCTGTTTCTGTCATGTTAAGTGATTCCAATTTTGATGTCAATGAGCGACTGTTGTGGATGTGGACCTGGTGCTGCAGGTGGAGTTGGAACTGGATTTGAACCTGTACCTGAATGCACAGAAGGGGCAATTCATCCATGGGGAATAGAAGGAGCCCAGCCTGAAGACAGGGTCAGTACATCCCATGTTTTTAAAACCCGCAGCAGCTCGCATTTATAGAAAAGACTGCATTTGATTAGAAGCATGAAAGTGATCAGAGTATTGTGTTGTCATCTAGAAGAAGTCAGACAGATACAAAAGGTGATTCTTAATTGAAATTTGGAGATGGAGTTCGTGTGTTTTAAGTTGCGTTCAGTCATCTTGGCCAAACAGTTTGGTGATACCTATTCCCTCAGCTGAAACACAATAACTAGCAATCTTAATCAGTGCAAAGTAGGACAAGGTAATAGAAACCATCTTCACTAGTCACCTTTTACATTAACAATGGAAAAAACTTGAAGTCGTCTTTTCCTTTTTTTTTTTTTAATGGGGATGGTAACTGACAGCTACTGTTAACAGTTTAGTTTAGACATTTCTTAACATGTTTCACAATGTCTTGGTCTTCAGAAGAAAATTTCAAAGTCATCATTCAAGCAGTCAAAATATTGTTTTCCAGGATGTCTCACACATTCTTGCCCCAACAACTGCTGCAGGAGGTGATTTTGGTGAGCCCTCTGGTAAGCAGATCCTAAAGCTTTCTATGTGAGCTGTCATAAAGCTATCTCTCAGAACTTACATCTTCTGATTCATAGAGCACTTTGGTTTCACAGATATAACCCAGCCCTCCTAATCATACATCTGCAGATAGTCAAACTGATGCTAGTATGACTTCCAGTGTGAATAAAGAATACGAGGTTTGAGTTTTGAGCAGATTCACTTCTGGAAACTACATTTATTTTGAAATATCTGCCAAGACTTTCAAATCTTGGGCAATTTATCATTTCAGCTAGTGAATGGAGGGACTTCTCAAGGCAGCAGTTTTAGTACAAATCAATTTTGAGGATAGAAGAAGGAAATTTTCTTTCATAACTTGGTGGTGAAAGGTTCAGCTCTTCAGCTCTCAGTTTTCTGGCTCTGCTTCCAACAGGAGAATAGGACCTGTCAAGCAGCCAGTTAATCACTGACCATTTGTGCACTAGCCTGGACCGAAAGCTGGTATATAGCACAATAAATTCATGCTTCTGAGATAAAGTTCCCCCAGGGATTCAATGGCCATAGAGAATAAGACAAGCTTTTTTCCCCATTCCTTCTTCCACAACAGGAAGAAAGGATGCTGTCACAGATCTATTTTCACTAGCTTCTGACAGGAAGACATATCACTCTGCAAAACACCTTCTCTAATGGCTATTGATTATTAAAAAATGTTCGCATGCTTAAGGTAAAATCAAAAGGGAACATTTGGGGGCATAAACATGAATTAAGAGTCTTCCGTCTCAGGGAAGTTACACTGCCATTGAAAAGTTTAAGACTTAGACATCTCATTTACTTTATTTCCATTCTCCAGTACTATTATGGTGAAAGCCCCTGGTTTAAATTCTATAAACTCAGACTAATGAGATTAAATGAAAAAAAAAAACAAAAACAACAAAATTTAGCCTATGTTTCTTAATATAATCACAGCTAAGACTACTGTATGCAATTGGCTTATTACATGATGATATTTAAGACCCTCATTCCTGGTTATCAGATATGAAAAAAATCTGGAGAAGATAAATCCTGTGAAAGTATGATTTTATAATTTATCGTAAAGATCATTTTCATTCTTCATCATGAACACTGGTGGTTATTATGCTCTATCGTTGTTCTCCCAAATCCTCCTTAGCAATCTATTGACTAGAAAATGTGAAGAGTTACAAAGGTATTTCTTTTGCAACAGAGTTTAAGGCAAAACAATTTTAACCCCAAAGTGATCATAAATATACATTTATGTATTTGCATAAATATCCACAAGCATTATCTGATTTTCTAATGCAAATTCCAAGACGGCATATATATGCATCAGACACAGGAATCTCCAGTCAATTACTCAGGTAAATCATTGATTTTCTAAAGCACATATGCACATGCTGCCTAGCCTCAGGAATAAAATCAAGGTCTTAGATGTCTTCTAATATTCAATTTTTAATTGCAGTTTCAATGTTTGGCACCTGTGCATGGATCTGTGACTAAAATTAGTCTAAAATACCTTTAGAAACTCAGTAGTGTCAGTAGTGTACTGTTTTTAAAAACAGCTGCCAAATTCTGTGTAAATTTTCACAGAGCACAGGAAGGATAACTTCTTCTGTTTTCAGACATATATACAAACACATACGGAGGAGGAGGAGTAGTAGCTTCTGGTGTTGAAGAAACTACAGGGGTTGGCTATGGCACTGGTACTGGTTATGGAACAGCTGGAGGAATTTCTGGAACAGGCGAAGTAAAAGGATCAATTGGAGGAACAATTAAAGAGTATCGAGAAGGAGGGGTGAACATGGCCTTCCTAGACAACTACTTCTCTGAGGTAACTGCTTGATCTTCTTAGCGGTGTATCTGTGAGCCTACTTTTAGATTCTCCTCTCCAATTTACATGGTGAAAATCCAAGATAACCCCACTCAAATTGAAACTTCCATGATATGAGACTGGTGTGAGAACAAAGCTGACAATACTAGTAGGCAAAATTATGATACTTAGGAGTACCACTTTTGAGCTGCTGCCAGGGTAGGTTTCATTGTTCAATGGCCTTTTTGTAAAACTGATGGACACACTTCAGGTATGGGTAGCAAGCAAGTAAATTATTGCAGCTTCATAATACACCACCAAATTTATATATTTGTCATCTTTTTCAGTGTAGAGTTCAATAATAACTTTGTGAAATTATTCACGTTTTCTCTACAGCTTGTTTAATAAAATCACTTTAATCATTAAAGAACTGTGAACACCACTTCACTTTCTTCCTTATTTTTACTGGCATTTCTGTTCCCTAAAATATTTATTAACTGCAAGTGGCACAAACATGAAGCTTTGTAATTGGCAACAAAATAATTATCCTTTAAATATGGGATTAAAAAATGCTATGATGTTTACAAGATTGATTAATTAATGGGATATATTTTCATGATTAATTAATGGGATATATTTTCATAATTATCATAAAAATGCATAAATACTATGATTGCATATGTCACCAAAATATCGATTAATATATAAGGATTGCTGTCTCAACATCTCGAGCATGGACTTCTTCCAGACCACAGTCTACCTGCCTAGCCTGGAAGCCCTACATATAAATTGTCTGCCAGCCATAAGCCTCTACAGATTATTCCTGCTATCTCAACCTCCAAACACTGTCTTTCCCTCACAGGCCACCCCTTCTGTCCTTCCCTGCTTTCTATAACTTGACCCCACACTCATTTTAAGTTCTCTTCTTTCCTGCCTGATCCCTCTGTACTGACCACCCCACCATCCCCAATGCCATCCCAAATCAGTGATCCCCATCCCTCTCAAAATGGATTTCCTCTCTAGGTTCACAAAACTTTCTCCACTGTGGCCAAACCTCCATCTCATTCCCTTTGTTCTGGCCTCTCCACTGCTCCTCTTGCCATCCTGCTTTGTTCTGTTGCCTACCACTTCACTCAGATACTGCTGCCCAAACAGCAGATTTGTTCCCCTGTCTCCTTCAATCTTTCCCTTCACCCCACAGTCAAGCTCACTGAAAACAGACCAAATTTGAGATGCCAACTGTGTGCAGAAACAGAAATAAAGCATCAGTAACTTTTGAATAGAACTTATTTCAAGGTTACAAAGACGTTGATTATATAATTGGTTCTGTGGATGCCCCATTTTTCAAGTCAGCTGGGCTATACTGTGTTTAGGGAAACCTTATCACAGTCTGAGACTCCGTGGTTAAAAACCTGATGAAAAGCTGCTCTCTTCTTTTTTGTTTCTTTATTTGTTTTCAAACTACAGAAAGCATTTGTGTATGCAGATGAAGATGAAGGTCGGCCGGCAAATGACTGTCTACTAATATATGATCATGAAGGAGTCGGTACTCCCGTTGGCTCTGTAGGTTGCTGCAGCTTTATTGGAGAAGATACAGATGAAACGTATTTGGATACATTAGGACCAAAATTCAAGACCTTGGCAGAAATCTGTCTGGGCAAAGAGATCGAACCTTTCCCTGATGTCAATCCACCCTGGCCATGCGTTAACGTCACCTTTCCCAACCCTGAAAGTGATATAAACCTCCCGCCACCTGGAACCACCATCATTGTCAACGGAGCTGCACCTATGCCTCCCCCGGTTGGCACTACAACAGTTGTTACTGAAAACACCTACACATCCGGGTCAACCATACAGCACTCAAGGCCGATGCCAGATCCTTTGCTCCACGGCAATATGACGGTGACTGAGACCTACACCTCCGGCTCCCCCTCAATTTGCATTGACCCTCTGCGTGCATCCAATGTTGTTGTAACAGAAAGGGTTGTCGGTCCTGCATCTGCTTCTGATTTGCGCGGCATGCTAGATATCCCCGATCTCACAGATGGGTCCAACGTTATAGTCACAGAAAGATTAATTGCACCTAACTCCCGCCTCCCGACCTCTCTGAGCATTCCTGATTTGGTAGACGGATCAAATGTGGTAGTGACAGAAAGAGTGTTCAGGCCTGCCTCTGGCATGCCAGGCAGCTTAATAAATATTCCCTCAGAATTAACAAATGCCCACAACATGATGGTCACCGAGAGGGTAGTATCAGGGTCTGGGATGAGCAGCATGGGGGGAGCAAATCTGGGGAGCATGAGTAGCACGAGTCAGATGCTCAGTGCTGACTGTCACCTTGGCCAAGCAATGGGCACAGCATCCCCCAGCACCTCCCGGAGAAGAGTGACAAAGTACAGCAGCATGCAATACTCCAGTCAGTAAAGCCTCTGCCAGCACCCCTTCCTGCTGAAATCACCATTTGCACCGACACTCATTAGCTGCCACCCACCAAAAATATTATTACTGTTTATAACCAGGAAATAGCGCTAAAATTTCAGGGATTCCTACCTGTGTAAGGATCTCTGAAGGGTGACCCATCTCAAGATCAAACTTTGTCAGTGAAGGGAAAGTCAAAGTTAGCTTTAAATTTACTTCTCTCTCTCCACATAGACTACAAGTGTATGAACAAATACTTCCGGTTTTGGAGGGAGATTTGATTACTGAGTGGAGCAGTGAGAGGGGTTCCTTGTATGCATACAGTATCAGTATGAATTTATGTCATATAAAAGAATGTTAACATATTGTACGGCTGAGTGATCTCCCACAATAAGCAGATTTGGGTTAATAGCCCCTCACTGACAAGACAGGAAAAGAATGTAATTGATAATTAGTCAGCTCAAGACTAAATAAGCACTTTCAATTGCACCATTTTACATTGCATGTTATTCAAGAAGTGGTGTAAAATGGCACTTACAATCATTTCTCCCATCATCAACAACAGTTATAAATAATAATCATATAAACACAATGTATTTTCATTGCTTTCTGAAGTTCTCAGTAAAACGAACACTCTGCCATGGCCTGCCATGATGTTGTTCTCATGGAAAGGAGTGTGACCAGCAAATCACTGCAGCTGGCACTGCTGTGTTGACACTGTCACCCAAAAAGATGTTGGCTTCACCTCTTCTCCCTTACTGTTACAGCTTTACTTAAATCTAAAAGGACTTCAGTGACAACCAGGAGCTCTTAGTCAGATTTTTGTGCCAAACTCCGACTACCATTTAAATCTCCAATGTCAGGTCATATTAAGAGGGCTATAATATACTGTGCCAATCCTCTTTTGAAATACTGACAATAAAGTCTTAGAAGCTTTGTGATGTGGGGAAGGAAAGAGCAAGTATTGTATCACTGACACTGGTAGCTAAAGTCCTTCAGGAAAAGAAAAATCACTTAGGAGCAATATAAATTTGCTAATAAGCAATGTGGACAATTTTTATTTCATATGTCAATGTATTTTACATTGATATTTTGAAACTTTATTTGAATGTGTTAATTGAAAAAGTCTTTATGATAATATAATCTTAATTAAATCTGGCTTTTATTTTCCCACAAAAACAGCTCTACTGGATTCTGTTATTTTAACTGTCTTAGAATATGATCTGAAGGAGTACTGAAATATAGTATCTATCTCATTTTACTTATGTATCATATGTAAAGTAACCATAGTTATCATCATAATTATCATATGTAAAGTAACCATAACATCGCTTAGGTGTGAATATAATAGAGCTATACAGATGGACTAGCTTTTTTTGCTAGCCCAACAAAGCCATAGTTTCCCCTCAAATTTTGCTTCTTCAGCTTTGATGGATGGGTTAATGAAAAGGTTAAGGCTTGTCTGTGAACGTCCCACTCTATAAAGTGGAAAAGAAACTTTGGGTTGCATATCCAGCTTACTTTATCTAAGAAGAACTAGGGGACAAGTTTCTGAGTCAGATACCAGGAAAAGGCTTTTTGAAAGATACTTTCAGAAATATGACTAGATCCACTGTCAAAGACAACCTGCAGTGCCCTTTGAGTCAATGCCACTGCTATTAACACTAGTAATCCCCAGGAGTCATGATCAAATCCAATGCTACCTCGAGAAAGGGTCCCTTCCAGGGTTTCAAGTTCTTCATAAGTCAGTTGTGCTAGATGCTCTTCCCATATCTGAAGTATTGCTATTTTTATTTCATCCTGTAGCCTGATTATCTTAGGTATCACTAAAATTGCATTGACTTCAGTGGTATTAGTCTCTCCCATACGTTATGTTGTTATTCACCAACTGTAAGTTTGGTTTCTGGAACTATTTGTTAAAGAAAATAGGTACTAATCTGCATCCTGGAGAATTTGTGCTGAAATTCACTAAAATGCTGACAAGCTCTATTTTGTTTTGCTAGCCACTTATTTACATAGAAAAGCAAATATTTGAGATAACTATGACCCTCTGAACATTTAGAAAGATTATGCAATATAGTCAAAGCCCACTAGAGATATTTTTTAATGTAAAAAAAAAATACTAAGTCTTGTGTAAATATTTCCATAATCATCTATGCAAATCAGAAATACTTTTCCTAATTGTGATTCAAAAGTAATAAAAGTAGTCTTTGGGATCACATGCTGAATTCTTTGTGGCCCTCTTGAACAGGGATGCTGTGTGAAGTATGAGTGAACTAACTGGTCTCTTGTATGTCTAGAAATACAAAGGGTAGAAACTAATAGAGAAAAAAAGTTGTTTCAAAGGACAGATTTTGGTTATTTAGTGATTGTCTACATCTAGTACTATCTTCTACCAACTTATTAAAGATCAATAGCTTATTATTTAATGCAATGTCTTGAAATATTTCTAACATTTTTTAATATTGGTTTCTCACATCGAACAGCAATCACATCACCCCTCAGCACATTTCCAGTGCATCTCTGCATATTAATTTCTACTGCTGTGTAATTTTTACAAACTTTCTTGAAATTTCTTTCTTAGTGACATGTGGGTAACTTTAGGTTACTACAAATTCTGGATGAAAAATGTATATGAGGATGTGAACAAATATTTGATTCATTAAAAATTCTGTGTGAATTCTTTTCTAGCTTTATTATTAAAAGTTAGCAAATAGTTTTATCCTGACTAGTAGATATTAGTTTTGTTTCTTTTCCTTCAGTTGTAAGTTAGAAGTCCGCCTGCTGTCTACCTTTAATTATATCATTTAATAAGGAAGAATGAGTGATTTTCAGGGAAGAAAGACAACTCTGAGTAGTGATTATCAATCCTGCTCTAAACCATTCAAGCAAAATGCTTTTATTAAAGTGTCGGCAGCATGCAATACTAAGTCTACAGCTTCCTTGTTTTTTACTTGGCTTTTGTGGAGCAGGGTCCTGCAGTTTTACACAGGCTCATGCAGTTTTACACAGGCTCATGCAGTTTTACACAGGCTCATTGAGATCGTGACATCATGAAAAGTATACTGCCATGGAAAAAAAACAGAGCCACAAGGTGAGGGTCTCATTAGATTTCTATCTTGGGAACACTGTCTGAACTTGAACTGCAGGTTTCGATACTTTTTACACTTTCCTGATTTAGTGGTACTAAATAGAACATTTAAATTGTTGTGAGCAGCACCTACTATGTGCACTATCAAAAGAACACATAATTTAAGCAACAGTAAACAAAAACAAGACTATTATTTTGCTTGAATTGACATAACAGTGTAATTCAAATGCTCCTCACTATTGAGTAACCAAATGCATTATTTTCATTTTTAATTCTCTTTAAAATATCACTAATATTATAGTGCTATTGTGCTTTCATAAATAAAAATATTAGAGCTTTGTTTGTAATAATTTCTGAATGGCACTGAAAAAATACAATAAATAATCATTTGGAAGTCATGTTTTAAGTAGAGTGGCTCAGGATTATTTTTTTTCCCCATTTATCAGTAGGAAAACCTAGTTTGCATAAAAACTGCTGGTTTGTACAAGAAATTTCTGGGTTTAATTTTCTTTTGTAAAGAAAAAAATCATTAAACAAAAGGTCTTGATTTAGAAAGTTAGGGCATTCCAGGGTGAAATTATTTCATGTGTCAAACTGACTAAGATACTTTGGTTCAGGTTGTGAAGCTGAAACTTGTGTCAGGACTCACAAGAATTCTGGTACAATTTCCTCAAGCCATCATTCTCTGCGTTGTTCTCTCTCTTTAGACACTCTTTTCTGTGATACAGTTGTATCCTACATCTCCAAATTGCTTCAGAGGAGCTATAGATTAATGCTGGAGCACAAGCCATAGAGAAGAAAGAGAAGATATGACACTTGAATTACAGTGTTTGGGCAGCACAGGCATTGCAGGTACATTCAGTGCATACAGGTAAAGATGAGTTAAACCAAGGAAAACCACTTTGGTCCTAAAACTAAAAACTGAACATTTTGATTTTTCTGAATCAAATTTCCTTCTTATATTCCAGGCCAGTATTGATTACAATTTTTTTTTTTTTTTTTTTTGCACAGATATTTTCCAAAAAGGTTTATCCGAACTCAGTAAAAGAGTAAGTATTTGACTCAAATCTTTAATGAATGAGTCAAAATATAGGTAAGCTAAATGGTAATTTTGTATTTGCAGGCTCTGATCTTACAGTGATCCAGTACCAAAGATCTGGGCAAGGGTTTGTCCATGTGCCAGTCAGTGCAGGCTCAGGTTGTCAGGGAGGTGAATCACCTTATGACTCAAGAAACAAAGATCTCCTCAGTACACATTATAAGACCTTGGTAAATTGTTTTATCTTCCTGTTTTCAATAAAAATTGTCTTTGAAAAGTGGAATGGCAATTTAATCTCTTCCTCTTAGGAATATGATGATAAATTCATCCATGTTTGTAAGATGCTGAGGTGTTAAGGTGCTTTGGAAATACATACAAATACACTGTGGGCAATGTGCCTGTAGCATGCATACAGAGGACAGCTCTCAAGTCTCTGATGCTGAATGTGTATTAAAATAAAAGTCTTTTGACTGTAAAATCCACTCTAGATCAATTATTCATATATAAATAACTGCTATTGGACATGCAAAGTTATTTAAAATAGTAGCAAAGTAATGTTTTTCTTGTGTTGTTTCTGGGTTTGTATATCTGACTTGTTTTCTTTAGTTAATATATTACTGAATAAAAATTACCATGGTAGGCTCTAGGTGCACCATCAACAGGCTGATCAAGGAACCAGAGAAATTCATGTGTAACAGTTTTATAACTGCAAAGTAGCCTCAACTGGGTGAGTACTAGGGGATGGACAGCAAACAATGGCCAGGCTTGAACACACTTTCTAATGGCATCTCCCATTGCCACTGTCAGAGGCAGAATGAAAAGAAATACACCTATTTTCCTTTTAAGTCTTCTCAGTTATGCTCTACTGCCATGCAACAGGTGCTTTCAATTTTATTATGCCCAGATCTGAAAACTGAGCAAGAGTATTGCCAGTGATTGCAAATAGCTTTCTCTATCACCTTCAAGAAGTTGCCTAGTCTCATTTCTAGGAGATTGTATGGGATTTGCACTTTTTACAGAGGAAAAGTCTGAAAGCATCTGAAATAAGCAAGTCTTAATGGAAAGTAGTCAGCCTTAACACTATGTTAACCATTATGGTTTGCACTTTCTTACATTCATAG